GTTGCTACATCAGTCTGAAGCGTTGACAATTGAAGATTAAATCTTATCTGCATCTTGCTTCAGAATGAAGCTGGCAGCCTTTATTGGTCCCTCCGCCCCTCTCACCATCACAAAGAAGACAAAGGTAATAAATGAAAACACAATCCTGTGTTCTTCTTGATAATCAAAACTTTTCTATTATTCCCTATTCAATATTTCCATCATCGATGGGAGGTAAAATTTCACAATTTTCTCTGTTGGGCAGTGATTATTTAAATGAATTATCTAATAGGATTTTTATCTCATTCCTATAGGAATTTGGAAACTGGTGAGTTACAACTTCATTAGAGTGCAATTATTTCTACTAGGAGGAAAACATAATCAACCATCTACTCTATTCTGAGACAACTTACTGTTTATGGTCTTATATAGCTCATCTCCATAGCCTAAATTCATAATTGAGTCTTCTTCAACATGTGACAGGAGAATGACTACCAATTCCTTCTTGGCTTACAATAATTAGTTTCCATCAGATTAGTCATTGGAGGGAGTGTGGCACTCTAATCAAATACTGCTCTCCTCACAAGAATTACAATGAATTTGGGCTCTTTTATGTTTAATAAAAGCAAATGATTACTTTGGCCATGCTATAAAGCCTTCACTGACTGGCTTAATGTAAATAAGGGGGTATTAAAAATAGGATTTGCCACACTTTGAAAACTAAAGTCAGTTTTCAATCTGTGAGCATAGGAAAACATTTGTCTTTCTTGAACAACAAGAGACATGTCTTGTTGTTTACATCAATTTTGATTGATTACATCAATCAAAATTAAGGCTATAATACAAGCCCTTTATCAACTGTGTCAAAGCTCTGGAAATTGATGAAAATTAGCTCAATGTTTTCCATATTATGGGAACTTTAAAGTTTCAAATCTATGGATTGAAAAATTCTATTGATAGAATAAGACAAAGACCCATTTATATCCCACATGGAGCTTATGGTAAAGTAGATGAGTGTCTTAGAAACATATCATTGGCAGGGACATCAATGTAAGAACAAAATTAAAACAGAGCCCATTTTGTATTTCTTCAGATAGAATGAGCTCTCTTTCTCTCTTCTCTCTTTTTCCTCTCTCTCTCTCTCTCTCTCTCTCTGTGTGTGTGTGTGTGGTGTGTATACTAGATGGTTTTATGTCAACATGACACAGATAGGAGGGAGCCTGGATTGAGAAAACATCTGAATAAGATTGGGCTGTTGGCAAGCCTGTAGTACATTTTCTTAATCAGTGATTGATGACAGAGGGCTCAGCTCATTATGAGTGGGCCACCCCTGTACTGGAGGTACAGGGATCTGAGTGGGCCACCCCTGTACTGGAGGTCCTGGGATCTATAAGTAAGCAGGTTGAGCAAGCCATGAGGAGCAAGCCAAGAAGCAGCACCTCTCCATGGTTTCTAGCATTAGCTCCTGCCTTCAGGTTCCTTCTCTGCTTGAGTTCTTGTCCTGACTTCTTTTGATAATGTGATGTGAACGTGTAAGCCAATTAAACTCTTTCCTTTGCAACTTGTTTTTGGTCATGGTGTTTCATCACAGCAACAGTAACCCTAAATAAGACAGTGTGTTTATGTGGAGGCAGAGAGTATGTACTCATCTGGATACCTGTACTTTGTTGAGGTTAACAGGTTGAAATTACACATCTTCAATCACACTTGACCTAATATTTTAAGGGTCTCTCACTGAACCTGGAACTAAACAATTCAGTTTGGAGAGCTTCTCAGTGATCACCAGTCCCCACTTACTGAGATTGTAGATGTGTGTATTTTTTTATGTGAGTGCTAGCAATCCAAACTTATGTCCTCACCCTTTTGTAGCAAGCATCCTACTGAATGAGCCATCCCCTAGTTCCAGAATCAAGACTGGCATTTATTCAGTCCCTGTTACATGGTCTAGTCTGATCCCTGATTTGGCCAGTTAAACCTCATTTGAATACTCTGAGTTCTTACAAAACTATTTCTTTATCTAACATTTTCTTTACTATACTCCAGCCTTTGTCATATGTTCAGCTTCTGGTTTTAGATCACCCTCTTACCTGGTGGCTTCAGTGTACATCTTTGTCTGTGCAACTGGAATTTGTTTATTTGCAGGCAGGTGGCCATTTTCACCTTACTCTGCACCCTCCTCAGACTCTAGCAACATTCAACCTCTATCTGGTTTTTAAAGCCAATGGACACCATTTCAAGATGATAACACATTGAATTGGTATCTGGCATTTTAATAGTAAAGAGCCTCATTATTGATATTCAAAGTATCTATTTGGCCCATTGTCATGAAAGAAATTTATCACTAGTAATATGTCTTTAATTTACTAGAACATATTAGAGTTTCAACTATCATCTCAGCAATATTATTTATTTTTTGAGATTAAATATAATTACATCATTTCCTCTTCCCTTCCCTACCCCGAAACTTTCTTATGTACTCCAACTTGCTCTCAAATTTATGGCCTCATTTTCTTTGATTGTTGTTACATACATACATATTTATGTGTATGTATATAGTTCTAAATATATAGATACAGCTTGCTCATTCTGTATGATATTACTTCTATGTATATGATTTCAAGACTGCACATTTAATATTAGATAACCAGTCTACAGACTCTCCTCTGGGGAAGACTATTTAAACATCCTATTTAGCTTTCAGAAGCACACTTTTCTAATGATAAATTATGTGACTCAACATAAAGATGATGGAAGTTTAAAATCTTTGGATTTAATGTGCCATATATTTCTTTAAGATATATTTCCTTGATCATGTGTATGTCTCTGTGTGGAGTATATGTGAGTATGAGTGCAGTGCATTTGAATACTGAAGGTATCATACATCACTGGAAGTAGAGTTAAAAGAGTTGTGACATTCCTAACTTGGGTTCTGAGAATTTTGATCTCAGGCTCTCTGCTAAGGTGCCCTGTGACCTACTGAGGTATCTCTCTGGCTCTAATGCCTCATATTTTAAATGTGCAGTTATTATTTGCTTCCAGTTAGTCATTTACATGGCTTAGCCATCATGAATCCCTTCATAGTTTTACCAAATAATAGCAAGGCAATGAGAAGGTAAGCACTCAAGGCTTTACTCCTGGAGTAGAAGGGCACAAACAAATTGTGCAATTGCACATCAAAAAGTGTCAGAGCTTCTCAGAAGTGCAAAATGCTCTGGTGGCTTATAAAATACATTGCATGGGAGGTGAGTGGGGCCCACATAAATGCATGGGAGGTGAGTGGGGCCCACAGGCTGCAGAATCACACTTGTTCTGTGACTCCAGAAAGGCAGCATCTCAGTTTGTTTCAATGTGGATCCAGAATGTCCACATTTCTTTCCTTCATTTCCACGTGAGAAGACGTTTTAGCACAAACAGGCCTTCTCAAAAGCTGGATGAAGTAAATAGTGTGTGAGTGTAAAAAGCTAGGAATAAGAAGGTCATCTCTTGTGTACTACATTATTTAAGTGGCCCAAATTTGATGGGAATAGTGAGGTGTGAGGGAGAAAGAGACAGAACAACAGTCACCAGCTGGGAGTGAGCTCCTTCTGGGTTCCAGGTGAATTTCCCACCTGAATTCCTCTCTGAATAAAGCTCTTCCCAGAAAGAGCTGCCAAGAGCCAGCAAGCCTGACCTTCAAAACAAGATCTCCAATTACCCACAAAACACCAGGTGTGTAAATTGCCGCCTGAAGTCCTGTGTGATTAACTGGTCAGCTTTCTATTTAACTATTACTTAAAGAGCACATTTCCAATACAAGTAGCCCCTCCAACGATGGAAAAATAAACAGTAACTTAAGGCTACCCACTTAAAGCCAGAAAAGAGAAACGCGACTAGTTCATGTGCTTACAAATTGTGGTGGTACCTGTTCATACACAGGCTCAGAGCTGATCCAGAAAAGGCACAGATAAGTGCAGGGGCCAAATAAGCTATCCAACTCAGGCCTATAAATGAGCCACAAGTGTACTAAAATCTCAGTCAGTTCTTTCATGATTAGGAAAAAAAAAACAATCTACATTGTTTTTTATCTAATGATGTATAATTGATGTATGCATTTTCACATGGATATTTAGTGTTCTCGGTATAACATGGCTCTCTCTCACTCTCACTTGGGGCTGGAGATGCCGGTACCAACTGTTAGCAAATCTTTGACCCACTTTCTTCTTTGGTACAATGGGGACACTATGATCAAATGGGAAGTCCTTTTTGATGCTCAAGGAATCAAAACAGTAATGAAATGCCTCCCAGTGCCCACCACAAAGGAAGCCTCAGTAAAAGCAACAGATATGATGATGATTTGGTTATTAATAAACCTAGGTGATAATTTCATATTTATAAACCATGGTTTTGTCATAATTAATACAGATCTAACAGTAGGTGCTCTGATCATTTACCGTGGCTGTTTTTGAGATAAATGAGATATGATATGTGAGATCCTCACTAAAGCTACTAATTTTTTTCACAACTGTAATGTAACCCTTTCTGTCTACTGGACATATCCCTTTATAACCCTTTGTTTTCCTAAAACAAATTCTTTAAGTGCAGGAGACTTCTTGTTTTTGTTGCTCCTGTTAGCAGTGAACACCAGGAGGAGTCACTTAATACAGTTGCCATGACAGGAAGGCATTAAACCAAGTTTTCTCCTATGAGGATTTTCTTTGTTATCTTTCCCTCTGCATGCTTCTACTTCTATTTAAATGAAGTAATTTAATATTTAAGTTCTCACCTGTCACCATTCCTTCTCTTTTTATATGCATAGCTATAACCAAGTACCAATAGACATTGAGAGTGCTTTTTAGTCTTGTCATTTACTGTGACTTTGGATAAATTAAACTCTATATGCCAACTACCCACAGGGGCAACCAACCAACCCAGAAGGGCCTGCTGAAACAACTAAGTGAACAGTAAATGCTGTGATCAGCAAATATTTGTTCAATGCAGCTTCTTATCTAACCCCTGTGATATTCTTCTTGGACTTGACTGACCTGTGAATGATGCGCTGGCTCTGCAGGTAGTCTAGGGCCATGGCCAGCTCACAGATGAACAGCTTCACTGTGTCTTCCTGAAAGTGGACATTCTGCTGCAGGTGATAACGCAGGTCCCCACCAAGTAGCAGGTCTACCACCATGAACATGTCTTCCTCGTCTTGGAAGGAATACCTGGAAAAACATTAGAAAAATAAATATTAGGGCTGAAGAGATGGCTCAGTGGGCAAAGTGCTTGCCCAAAAGCATGAGGACCTGAGTTCAGATCCCCAGCACTGGGATAAAACCATGGCATGGGGGCTAGAGAGAGAACCCCAGGTACTGGG